TCCTGAAAAATCTTGACAATGATCGACAGTTCGAGAATACTTTTGGTTTCCTGAATCTATGAAAGTTGTAACCAATGTCTGAGTGAAATGATCAACAAACCTTTTACCAAACTTCTTAAACTTCTTCTTATTTTTATCTCCTAAATTTTGACATTAGTAGATCCATTAATTACGGCTGTTAATTTCTTTACTCCCAAATGTGATAAAATTGAGTTAAACCATTTGCTGTGATGACAGGGTTGTTAGCGAACCGAGACATTCTTATTTGTGAAATAAGGTGATTTGTATTATCATTTGTATTAAAGCCAAAGGTTTTCCTCCTCTTCATATGTCAGTCTAACAGTTTCAAATGGAGAATTACTATGAATTGCAGAGCAAGAAGTTTGTTGAGCCATTTTTGAATCTCCAGTTGCCAACTCAATAAAGTTTTTAGGCGTGTTTCTAAACGAAAATGTAAGCTGGAGGGAACATAAAGGTGTAGTTGAAAATAAAATATCAAAAAATTTAGGTATAATGTTCAAAGCTAAGCAGTTATTAAATAGATCATGTTTAAAAAACATTTATTTTTCTTTTATTCATTGCTACTTAAGTTATGCGAACATTGCTTGGTAAAGTACTAACGTGACAAAAATAAAAAAATTTCTTAGCAAACAAAAACAGCCTATAAGAATAGTTTCAAATGTAGATCGTTTTTCACACACAAAAATACTATTTAATGAACTCAATATCCTAATTGTATATAAACTAAACCTCTATCATGTTCAAACTTGATAAAAATATATTATCAATCTTATTTTATTTAATTTTTGAAAAAATAATGTACATATATTTTTATTATTTTAAATGATAATTTTCTTTTTGAGAAATTTATTTTTTATTTTTGCGTTATTTATTAATCTTTTACTTTTATTTTTTACTGTTTATTTGCTTTTACTTTATTGGCAATGTAAAAGTATTATAAGTATAATTAAATAAGTTAAACTATAAACTGCTCTAACAATAAAATATTTTTTATATAAAATCAAATCTTCTTATTTTTCTTAGATGTTGTCTTAGATGTCGTCTCAAACTAATTCTTATATATTGTCATTTTAATATTTTAATTAAATTTTGTTTCTTTTATTTTACAAAACAATTCTTAAATCTTATTCTTTAAAAAACTATAAAATTTAAACGATATGCGATATATTTACGTTTTCATTTATAATATAAATCAGAGATATATACATTGAAACTATATTTTATTGTTAAACTATATTTTGTCTAATAATGACGCGTTTTTTGGGGCTTAATGATAAGACTAAATATGTCTTCTTCTAGCCGCGGTCATGTAAATTTTTTTTTTTATAAGTTACGACTGTAAATTTTTTTTGTTGGCAAAAATTGTAAAAAAAAAAAAAAAAAATAACTCCCTCATGTTTTCTCTGTTGCCGCATAAAGTAAAAAAATATTGCCGCATAATATAAAAAAAACGATCGCTACGTGTAAGGGATACGTTGAAAAGCGTCATTTCCAAGAATTTTTAGAACTAAATTCCTTTAAATTTCAAATATTAGCAAAAATGTTAGGAATTAATTTGCTACATCAGTTTTAACTAGAAAGATCGCTTATGTCACAATAAAATCAAAATTTGCAAAACTTATGTCAACCCTGCTGTTATAAATGTAAAGATCTGGTGATCTCTTATTTCACTGCGAAGTTAAAAATTAAAAGTCAATTTTCTCTCTCAAACATAGTCAAACGATTTGATTTTTTAAATATATTTTGAATCCTGAGACCATGGGCTACCACCCTCTTTTTACAGTTTTTTTAGGAAAGCACTTAACACTATATTCCAATTTCAGGTACCTGTGAAATATAATTCATCTAAGCCATTGAATTCATCTGATTCCATATCAGATAAATTTTCATTTATTACCGCTATAAACTTTTAGTTATTAATATTGAACTAATTAGGGGATCAGTAGTATGTATAGCTCAAGTGAAAATGTCAAATAAGTTTGTTTCTCTACTTTTTTTCCTTGCATCGTGAGGTTCATCTGTTTTTTCTCCCATTATATTAAGTGGAACTGATGATTAAATGATGATCACTAATGATGATCACTAAGTAATTTTGCTAGCATGTATTAATGGTTTGCGAATGGAAGCAGGGACCTTGAATCAATCATATGTTTCTAACAATTTCTTATATGGATCATTGCAGCATTTATCAATTTTTTCTGTTTCTTTTTTTTTTTTTAAATTTACAATGTTAGTCGTGATGAATAGTAGTATAAGCCGTGATACATAATAATATGAAAGACTTTTACAAAGTATATACATACATACATATATACATACATACATACATACATACATACATACATACATACATACATACATACATACATATATATATATATATATATATATATATATATATATATATATATATATATATATATATATATATATATATATATATATATATATATATATATATATATATATATATATACAAATACATTTTTTATTAAAGTTTTAGAATGTTATCTATGAACCTTTTTGTGTAACAAAGTTCAATCAATTTTGTATTACATATTGTGCACCCCATCCTTGGAATAAAATAGTATTACCAAATTTTGATCCTTCTATTACTCTGCCTGTTTTTAAAATTTGGTAAAAAACGTTTTTTTGCGCAGGAATGAAAAATAATCCTTTTTGTTTTGTTAGTATTTAAAATTAATTTATTAGCTTTGAACCAATTAGAAACTTTTTAAATAGATCAAAAATAGTAGCGGAAAGAGAATAAAGGATTCTGGAACACCACCGGTTATGCTCAGCGGTTCACTTTGATGACCATCATTATTATACACAAGCGGTTTTCGATTTATTAAATAACTTTCAAACCATTTTAAATTCAATTGCTTAAACCATAATATCAATTTTTTTTTAGGATTAAAATACGATGATTGACTGTATCAAAAGCTTTTAATAGGTCAATAAAAACACCTAGTGTGTTTTGAGATTTTTCGAAATATTTAGAGATGTGATGTATAAATTGAATAATGGCATGTTCACTTGAACTACCTTTTCTGAAACCATACTGATTGTTGTGTAGTTACAATTTACTACATAACAAAACAGCTTACTACTGATTGTAGTAAGCTGTTGTAATTAGAATAACTTCCTGTTGAGGATAATTCTTTCTAAAATTTTAGAAAATACATAGAAAGAACAAAGATAAGACAACTACTGATATTGGATCTGTTGCCTTCTTTATGGATAAGGGTAACCCTGGTAAGTTTTAAACGTTCAGGAAAAATACCTTGATGAATAGATGCTCGGAAAATTTTAAAAATAATATTTTTTTAATTGTTTGTACAATATTTCCATTTATTTTATTTGCATCAGATTCTTTATTCTTTTTTAAAGGTTTGAAAGTTTTCTCAAACTCAGCAAACGATAGTTCGGCAGATAATTCTTCAGAACAAATATCTTTATCAACAGGCATCAAAAAATTGTAAAATGAAGTTTGAGTTTTTGGTGTTTTACTTGATAGAGTTGTTACAATTTCAGTGAAATGTTTATTGAATTCATGAGCTATTATTTGTGGTTTATACAAGCAATTGTAATCGTTTCAGAGCATGTTTTTTGTTTCCAGTATCTTTCAATAATTGCCAAGTGAGTTTTGAGTCATTTTTAGCTTTATTAATTTATTTTGAATAGTAATTTTTTAAAAATGTTTTTGGATTTTTTCGAACAGATTTTTGTAATCTTTATTGCAAGATGATGTTTTTATTTTCAGATATTTTATGTAGGGGAAGGTTGCATAAGATGACCAGGATTCTAAGATGGTATAACCTGTTTAACGGGTAGACTACTGATTTTTTTTGCGAATTTTTTAGGTTAAGTATATTCATACAAGTTCGACGGTGTTATTTATTTTATTTTTTTGGTTGTATGGCTAATATCCTTTCTTAGCTTTGTTAAAAAAAATTTACCATCCCCTTTATAATTTTTTATTAATCAATATTTGTAATTACGTAAGAACGAAACAAGATCATCAAAAATTTATTATATCCTCAATATTTTATGCTTGTGTACTACTTATTCCATATGAGATAATAAATAAGCTGTTGTCATGCTAATTAACAATATACTTAAAAAGTAAAAAAATTTTATCAAAAATTTTTTGAAGTTTTTCGGTCGATCAGCGGCAAAATTTTCTTAAATTAATTTTAAACTCAGGATGCGAAAAGGTACAAATAGGAAAAATTTTATATTTAATTCTTCATCAAATTCTAAATTTAGTACCTGTGCAATAAACTTCTTACTTTTTATGCATAAAAATTGTAGTACCAAATTTTTTAGAATTTTATTTTTAACAGCTTCTATAACACCTCTCCAATGATGTATATATTAAAGCAGCCGTGGCGCAGTGGTAGCACACTTGCCTCAGAAACGTAAGATCCGTGGTTCAAACCCCACCTCAGGGCAAGTTTTGCGACATCGGTTGGGAAGGAGGCATGAACTTCCTATTGAATGCTCTTCCACGGTGCTCTGTGATAAGACCGTAAGGACTTCTTGGGGCACCTAAAATCAAAAATTAAAAAAAATATATATTGTTTATTTTTCGTTGATTTATATTAAAAAAAAAAAAAAAAGATAATTGCTACAACCCAACATCTTATAACTATCAAAAATTTATTAAAATCCTAACATCAGGACGTCACTACCATTAGACCTGTCACATTTAAAACTTCATAAGTTGAAAAATCAAAATCAAACTAAGGCTATGCGATTTCTGCGATTCACGGTGCACTGTCTCTTGTTCTCCATTAAATTTAACGGAAAAAATAAATTACGGAAACCTGCCAGACTTATTTTGATCTAAATTTTAAATTCATTTCATTCAAAACAAATCGCTCCCAGAATGAAACAATAAAATTTTCAAAAATAACAGTTAAAAATAAGTACTCTATTTAAAACAAAAAACGTATAAGAAAATAACTAAATGATTTCCAATATCAAATGTTTCTTAATTAAAAATGATATAGCTACTTAAATGAATATACATATGTACACAAAATAAATAAACAATCTTCAGATATGTATAAAATGTACAATTTACATTAAAATTATGATCCAAATCGATATTCACATAAATACATCAAGGTCTTATAACGGCTCCCTTTTAATAACCCCCCCTTTTTTTTCTTCTGATAGATTTTATTTACATAAAAAAAGTACACAATTTGCTAATTGGATAAAATTTATAAGTCTTTTCCTTGTTCATTACTTAAGATTCGAGTAAGAATTACAACACAACACTTGATGTTTCTTTAGATGATTTTGTAACACTTAATGTATCATCACCATTGTCAGACTTCGTAGATTCGGGATAGTATTGCTTCAAGCGAACGTGCCATGCAATACTTGTTACGGCGGAAATAGTTTTAAACTGATGACATACATTTCGTGGAATAAAATATATATCATTATCCCGAAGAGTTATACGAGCATAACGAATTCCTTCTCGACGGAGTTGATTCAATTTAGCATCATCAATCCATTGAACGCACTATAACATTGAACTAAAACATTGAGCATATCAAACCGAAAAAAAGTTTAAACGAAAAACGGCCCTTTTTATTTTTTTTATTGTCTAATATTTAAATATCTTAACAAAACTTAATTTTTTAGACTTAAAAAAAGTCCGTATATTTTATAATACTAAGTAAAAACATCACAGTATATGGCTTGGAAAAAGCAGTTATTAAATAACATATTTGTAAAGCGGAAAATGTAAAACAAATAGTTAGGAAAATAAGGGGTTCTTAAAAAATATATTACTTGAGACATGGGTGGTTCATAAAGATCCAATTGCATCTTTTCTACTACTGCTAATAGATCGCCAGCATCGAAAGCTATTACTTCTTTACAATGGCGATTTAAACTCGGACTAAAGAAGACAAAATATAAAGTTCATAACTAAAAACAAATGAAAACATAAATATAAATTAACTAACAATAAACAAATATAAAATTTGCAACAAAAAATTTGTAATAAATTTTAAACACATTAGTTGACTTTATTATAATAATTGGCTACTATTAGGCCAATTATTATAATAAATTTTATTTAAATCCTTATATATGTTCAATAGTTAAAACATTTTCAAAATATGAATTTTTTAGTGAAGAATTATTTTGAATTAAACCTCTTATTGATCAAATAAAGATAAAAAAAATTAATATATAGAATTATAATTTATGATTTATAACTTTGACTTATATCATTGTTATTAAATAAAGATTTTTCTAAATTTTAGACCGATTTCATAAATAACTTTTGCATTTTAAACAAGATATTAACATCTTGTTTAAAACGATTATAATTTTTGTTTAAACTGATAATAAATCTTTACAATTAACTTGGAAAAAAATATCGAGATTTATATTTACGAAACTTATGCTACTATATTTAGTACTACTATTTTCTAACATTTAAAAAGTTTTTAACTTTAAAACTAAAACTTTTTAAAAAACTGTTTCAACAATGCTTTTCCCACCAATCATAAACTTGCTGTGTTTTTTATTGTCCAGACTGTCAGTGAAATGCTAATTTACATTTTTATTTCCTACTAAATATCACTATGGTCTCAAAACTGTGTTTATTTTACCAATCAAATACACAATTATTCAATACAAGTTTGGTGCTAACATAATTTTACTTTCTAATTTTAAAAAGGTATTTACATTTATTATTACAAACGTTTGACTCCCATTTTAAGAACAAATACAATTTTTTCCAAAAGCAGCCAATTTTTTATTGGCGATTTCAAGCACTAATAGTTATTACAGTTATTTTATAAACAACTTTATAAAAATAAAATTCAAAAACACCTAAAAACCATTACTTAAGTTCTTAATTATTAGTGCATATATGGTAACTATTTAACAAAAAAAATCAGACAAACAATAAAGTTACTATTAATTTTTAAAGGAATTTGAAATTTAAAATGAAAATTACTTTTTGTCAAAATGAATAGCTTTTAAAACTCCAACAGCAGCAGTTGTGGTTCTATCAAGACCATGTCCAACATGATCTGCATGACACTTGGTTCGGTCTTCTGCAAGTGATTCTCTTGGCTCAGACGATCTTGGCAAATATTTTAACTTTTGCAGCTCATTTACACCGATTCTAAAGTTTAAGAAAACCCATCAGAATGATGATGCATATTCTTTTCTGTCTTTATATTGGAATGATATATGCTAAATAACCTGTAATCAAAAATATTCTGGTAAACAAGATCAGAAATGATATTTGGGTAAACAAGGTCAACAATGATATTTGGGTAAACAAGGTCAAAATAGATATAAAATCCATTTTTTTCGAAACTTGAATTTTATCCATGAGTAACATATGCTTATAATTATGGTAATTGTGTAAAATTTTTTTGGAACTAAAACAAAACTTGGTATATAAATAGAATATTTATATACCATGTTGGCAATTTGTTTTTCTATGCATCATTGACCTTATGTTTTAAAGTTACAGGATTGAGCAAAGGTTGTAACAATTAAAAGGAAAAGTAACAACTGTAATAACCCCCACAACCTTGGAATGGTAAATACAGTAAAAAGATATATTTATGACATATTTTTGCACTCTTTGCTGTGCATGAAACATCATACTAAAATAGGTATCTGCAAAGGCTTCAGTACATACATCAAATGAAAGTTTGTCTTTGAGTAGATACAGTTTTTATGCATCTAAACAATTTTAAAATTTTAAGCATGCAAATTATATTGACTTTTGCAAGCTAAACCTGTAGTGTGAGTAGGTATATATATGCACATATATGCATATATACAGCGTTGAAAATAAGTAATTGAAAAGGGGTGGTCAATTCGACTGGCAAACACATGAAATTGGTGGTCATTTTTTTTTTTTTTTTGACAATCAAAATATTTATTTTTTTCTGTTTAAATCTTATCTTAGTAATAGTTCTTTGTGATTGAGTTTTATATGTAATTCCAAGTAATTAAATTTTTATTTTTTTATTTTTTTTTGAATAACAAAACAGTTTTTATAAAATATTTAAAAAAATTAAACTGAATACTTAGTACTAAAAGAAATTGTTTTGTGAAATATATATATATATATATATATATAACAATTTCAAATGTATTTTCAAATATATGCTTTGTCTGATTCCTTGATTAATAGAAAAAAAGTACAGTTAGAGGAGAAAATGTTCTTAGTTATATACAACAATTACAAAAAATAACAAAGAATAAATTTTTTTTTTTATAATCCTTAAGTTGGAGAAATATAATCAAATAATTAAAATAAAACAAATAAAAATAATTGCACATTTTATATCTCTGCTCATTAAAATTATTATAAACACTGCTTACTTTAATTAGTTAAAAATAACATTAGTAATTCTCGTACGCAGCAAATTGAATACAAAGAAGACAACTGTTTAATGAAACACTACTATAAAAATAACTAATGTTATGTAAAAGATGATTTTTACTAAATATATCTTATATGAATCCTATTTAGAGAAAAAAAAGCACAAATACACAAATAGTAATTTTAAATTTATCTATAAATTATCTATAAATCATTTATTACAATTTGCGGCAAAATTTACAAGAAAATAAATAAAAAGATTTAAAGAAAAGAAAAACAAAGTGAAAAATAAAGTACAGTTCAAAGATAATATGTTCTAAACACAATAATTATTACACATCTTACAATCATTAAAATCATTATTATAAATATCATTATTAAAATAGTAATAAATTAAGAACTTCAACCATTTATGTAAAAAATGATTTACCACCAGTGCAATGAAAGTATTCTAAATAAGTGAACCAAAAAAATAAATATATTTGCTTTGAGTAATAATTAATATTCATAAATGAAGCAAATAAATAAAGCAAATTATAATAGCATATCGAAATAGCATATCGTAATCAATAAAACTATTTTAAATGCAATTTCAAAATATAAATGATTTTAGAATTTTAGTATATGCTTTTTCCAAACACCACCCTGATTACTTGTCAAACCCTGTTTCTCAGAATTTATTTTGAGAGGTCAAAATAGGAATTTTAGTCATTTCGGGCAGTCGTTGACTGGCTATTATTTTCGAGGCTGTATGTATATATATACATACACATATGTATATACACACACATACTAGAGCGTATATAGATCAGCAAATGGTTACTAGTTTTGTTTATCTTTAGAGCATACAGCTGTTTCAGAAAAAAAAAAAAAGAAAAAAAAAAGAAGAATGAAAAGATTGCTGCCCCATACCAAACCCTCAGTTGATGTAGCGGCACACCATTGCAACAGCAGGCAATAAGATGTATTGAAGTCATAAGTCAATGTATGTACTGAAGCCTCCGACAGCAGACTATTTCAGTGTGGCGTCACAGTGCTTATTTAAACATGCATGTTTTAGTTGCATATATATATATATATATATATATATATATATATATATATATATATATATATATATATATATATATATATATATATATATATATATATATATATATATATATATATATATATATATATATATATATGTGATATCCAATTTGATAAAAAAACAACCAAACATAGTTAAAACAGGAAGAAACCAGTCAGTTACTAAAGCAAACTAAGTTTTTCATTGAATAAAAAATAAACCCACATTTAAAATATGAGTTTTCTGGAATCAGGAATTTTATTTTTAATCTTTTTTAGGTAAACCATTTTCAATAAAAAAAATTTTCTGAAATAACTTAATACGTTACCCAAGTTTTTTTTGGGTTTTCAATAAGTTTAATATTCTTTTTATGTTAATTAAATAACACCATTTATTAACAATAACAACAAAATAATAAAACCTACTTTCTTTTTTTTCCAATTGGTGATTTAGGCATTTCTATGGATGGAACCATCTGCTCTCCTGGACGCATCCATAATATTGGGCCGTCATTGCTAGTTGTTCGGTCCAGTCCACTATAAATAGACATATCACCCCATGGAAGAGTAAGGTTAAGAAATGGATCTTTCTCTAGCTTTCCAAGAAGTTTTGGAAAATAACCACCAGACTCTTCTGACACAGTTCCTACTAAACTTATTTGCCCTAATGCACCAGCTCGATGAGTACCATTACAAAAAGTACTCTTAACATTATTACAAAATTCATCCATCGTCATAGATACAATATCTGATTTTCTTCCAAGAGATTCTACCTTTACAATCAAGCTGGGCTGAGTGGTGTGTAAGTACTGAACAAGTTCAGGTAAGCACAACCCAGCATTATGTACAATACCCATTACATAATCTGATCGACCTTCTGTTTTTTCAGCATAACAAGTATTAAGGAATTCTTCAGCAAATTTTTTTAGGTATTCTGCTTTAATATTTGTAAGTTCTTCTGCATAAGCATGTAACACTTTAGCTCCACCATTAGGATCAGTATATGAATGAATATACTTTCCAAACTTTAAAGCTGATTGGGTGTCTTTTTGAATGATATATTCCATATCTGAAAAATGTCTTTCAAATATTTCTCTGTAATGCTTTTTTGTCTTAATCTTATCTTTTCCATTTTTTGAATTGTATGATCCATCTATATCTAAGAAAACATTATTAATCAACCCTCGGAATTAGTAAAAATGAGGTAGGCAATAAATTGCTGACCTCAAACTGTTAAATATCGGCATAAGGTTAACAAAAAAATTGATACAAAGGGGTTGCCATACAACATAGAAAAAAGGTCAGCAATTTTTGCCAACACTAAACACTCTATGGTCGCCAGTTAGGTCAGCATCGCCAAATGCCGACCCTAATTTCGAGGGTTGATAAGTTTAATAGTATGATCCATTTATATCTAAGAAAGTTTTATTTTTTAAATAGTATGATCCATCTATATCTAAGAAAATATTATTTGTTGAAAACTGTACAATTTAATAAAAAATATTACTGTAAAATTATTTTACAAAAATTTCTCTGTAGTTTTGTTTTAACTTTATAAACAGACTCAAGAATTAACAAGACACAAAATCATGAAACTAAAATTTTAACTTTAAGAAACTTTAATAACATTAATATAATGTCACTTGCTAATAATAATAACGTGAATGATAATAATAATAATAATAATAATAATAATAATAATAATAATAATAATAATAATAATAAAACATCACTTTATTTTAGCAACAAAAAAAAAAGTGCTTAAGGTATTATCTATACTAGAACTCATTACAGTCTGATTACCAAATCTTGTATCTTAATAAATTGTAATGTTAAAAGATGAGGTCAAGAATATTGAAATCTTTTTAAATAAAATTATTCTAAAATTATAGTTAATTATACTAAAAAGGAAAAACTTAATATTTCATCACTCTAATACAAGTCTCTTACAATAAGAGCAAATATTTAGCAAAACATCTAAGTTAAGGATTGAAAGAGTGTTATAATTACTGAGTGGGGTAATACTACTGAGAGTTTTTGCTAAACAATCGAAGAGCAGGAGATTTTGCTCTAGCAACAAAAACAAAAAATATTTGCGTTCTATAAATTCTTATCTACATTTGGAAATAGCTATGCTCATTTTACTTTAACCAAAGTATATAGCTTCACTTTAACAAGCCTTGTAAATCAAATCAGGAAATAAGTTTAGTTTCATGATCAAAAACATGACAACTTTAAGTAAATTAGTAAAAACAAAGGTTTACTTCAAATAATAAGAAGATTGGTCTGACCCATTTAGCTACCTCCCTTTTTGTTGCTGTTGTAATTATGATAGAGCTCACAGAGTCCTTATATTCTTATCACAGAGAATTGCGGAAGATCATTGAATTAGGAAGTTCATACCTCCATCCCTACCAATGCTGCTTATTAATCTAGAAGCAGCATCACATCTCAGACCTCTTGCATTAGCAAAATTAGACAATTGCAAATTGCGACGAGCCAAAGCCATGAAATATATTATTTCACTCTTGAAAGTATATTCATGCGGTAGCGGTGTAATGGTCACCATTAGCGCTCACCTAATAAGCAAGAAGTTCTGAGTTCAATCCACATTACATGCTCAACTTGTTTCTCTGCGCAACAGCTTTGTTTGTCAAGGTTTATGTTTTGGAGTTATAGGCTTAAGAGAGGGTTGTAGCTGCAATGAAAGTAGCCTCCTCAACTGCAGTGGCCTTTATAACTTTAGAGTGGTGAATTAATGTAAAAAAAAAAAAATGAAAAAATTGCAATTGCTAATTTTTTTTTAACCTGGGTAAAAGTTTATACAAAAAAAGATTTCTTCATGTTTTACAACGAAATTTACACAAAAAATTTGGTCAAACAAATATTACCTTTGGTTACTTGACCGTCAGGTCAGAAAAAGCTAACTTTAAAATTAACACATGTACTTTCAGACCACAAGTATCACCAAGAAATGCTCATCTTTAAAGTGTTTTTTTTGTATATACTTTAAAAATTGATTAAAGTAGGACTTTATTTACCTGATTTTTATTTTTTTATAATTTTGGCATAAAACAATAAGTATTTTTATCCTGTATTTGTGTTACTTGGATTAAGATCTGTTTTATACAAACAATATTTAAAACATTGTGTATTAAAAGGAAGCAGTGAGGCTTTTGACATATCAAAGATTTTGATAAAGTAGGGTAGTACTTAATGGCTTAATTATTACTTAAGCAGTAATAATTAAGCTTAGTTCATATTGCATATCCGTAAAATTATCTTATTGCAAATCTGTAAAAATATCTTGTTGCATATCCGTAAAAATTTATTACCAAATAATACCTTTCTAATCACAATATTAAAGCTGCCCTTGATAGACAACACTCTCCTCGATTTTCAGTAACTCATACAGTACCGCAAGACTTCATCCTTAGTCCTGCATTGTTTTTCAGTTATAATTGATGAGCTATTACATTAAAAAACCTTCTATATAATCTTACCTCTAAAATCTTTTAAAACAAGCATCCCATCTTGAATGTGATATCTCTTATGTAACAGCTTGGGGCTTACAGTAGTTGATAAATTTTAACCCAAACTAAAATTAATTGTTTACTGTTAATAATTATCACTATGCTGTTGATATGCTTTATAGTGCCCACTGCTCCTAATTTTAATATCTACGTCTATAAATCTCTTACTTAATTTGACAGAATACTGTTGTCATACTTTAGCTGTTGTATTCGGGCAGAATGTATCAGTATAGTAGTCTATTTCTATTAGTTGATAGACATTCAAGTAATGCACAGATATTCCATAAGATGGAATGGCAGGAAAGTTGTTTTAGACTGTGAAGAAAAACTTAGGAATCTATTCCTGGGGAACCCTAAGACTATAAATAAAAACAATGAGGTGTTTCTAAAAGCAACTAGCGTTCATTCCAGTAGCTGTTGTCCGATTAATGTTAGAAGAGATGAACTTTATTAACTGAGAAAGGGTCATGGCAAAGATATTTGATTACTCTGCAAAGGTAAAAGGAAAAGTTGCTATTTATCAAAATGTCTATTGTAGCTGTTTATCACCACTGGAAACAAAACCTTGGAGCCAAAATATATTTATAGCATCGAAAAGATGTAATGAAGATGGTAAGGTGTCTATCTTCCATACATATCAAGACACAATGATAATCATTCAAAGCATTGGTAACTGTTTTCCATGAGTTTCTTGGAACTGAATGGGCAAGTTAAGATGAGGATTTTATCACATGAGTTTTTCTGTAGCAATTTTTTTGTTTAACAGAAAAATTTATTCTTGTTTAAGAGAAAAAGATCAACACATTTCCACGTGATAATCATTTGGTGACATTATGTTATGAGATCACCTTTTTTTTTTCAACATCTTTACTTCCAACAATGCTGCAAGCAACCACTATTAAAGTTGGAAGTTACTGGAAGACAAAAGATAAAGTTTACAGAGCAAGATAACAGATGATTTAAAATATTGCTAATTATATGAATCAGGAAAACAAGATGAAAGATTATAAATAGAATGAAAGATATTACTCAATAAATAAATAATAATATGGTGGCTGGAGTAAATGCTGCAATAGATTTGGCATTTTAATGGATTAAAATACTAATTGAAGCACCATTCGTGCCACGTAGAATCTAATAAGGATATGTGTTGAATATTGTGTGAGAGTTCATAAAGCCAAGTTCTCATCTTACCAGGTGAGTAATTAAATAAAAGTTTAGTAGATGCACTTGGCGGAGAACTTTTAGGGTAATCAAACATGTGTATCTTGCAATATTAATCTATAGAAAGTCTTTAGAGATGATTCCCAGTTGGATCATTGCTTCTTTAGACTAATAAGCTTGGATTAAAACAACTTTATATTTGTTCTTATTTTATATATTATAAAAATATATAGAAACAAGTGTAAATTCTATTCAGGACCTTATTAACAAGAATTTTATAAATATATTTAGAAATTACTACTAGCGCTATACTTAATTTAAATTTAAAAATCCAAAAATATTCACTAAACAACTTTCATCTTGAGAATTTTATTCGTTATTATTTTTAAACAAGTGAACTCACCAGAATCTTTCTTTTGATGACAATGCTTCTTTTGCTTATCAGGCAATAATTCATTTTTTACGATTTTATAATTTTTTTGAGTTTTAGAAATAGAGTTCAAATAAGAAATATTTTTGGATGAAATGTTATTGATTTTGCTTTTTACATCAGCAATCTGCAGCAATCGATTACTGATCGTTTCTGTCATTGGCTTGGTTGAAACATCATACGCTTTAACATCTAGCTTCATTAATGGACAAGAAGCTTTTTCAGTATGCTCATTCGAATCATTAACATCTTCTTTTTTAATAATTTGCATTTGATATTTTTCCTTGAAGTCTTCGTTGCTAACGATTTTCTCAGCGGCAACCTGAACGATCTCCATGTTGCTCCGCATTTGTTTAAATTAATTAATTGGAAATTCGAGACATTTGAGATAATCGGCTACCGTAAAAGAAACGATTGTATTTTTTTAAGGTAGAAACATGATTCCATAGCGTAAAGTTAGGTGACGTAATGTTTATTTTTTGGCGAATAATTAAGTATTTAAGATGCAAAAAGCATTGTTAAATTATTTGTTTTATGCAATAGTTTTATGTGAATATTTAATTATTGGTCATGCGTGGTAAAATGTTTTTATCAAATAGTAACTCAATACAAAATTTGTGAAACATGATTTTATACTATAATACAAATGTTTTTATACAATTTATATTTAAATCATGATATAAGAATATTATTTGTGATCATAATATCAAAGTGAACCGCGATTGTTAAGATATTTTGATAATAAAGAAAACTAAATCATAACATGTTTAATGTAGTTGGTTTGTTTATTAGTCATTTTGTGAGGATGGCTAAGGAATTATTTCTAAAGTTATAACAAGCACATTCTTGAGTTTTATCTTTATTTTTTAATCTTAGTGCTTCTACTATGATAAGAAACTTTATGCAAACAACAACAACAAATAAAAGCAATAGGAGCAAAAATACCTATAATATCATAAATAATAAAATCATAATATCATTATATTATCCAGGTTTATACAATTGTAATTGCTATCTCTAAAGCTATGGTGATGGTCTATATTTTAGCCAATTTAAAAATCAACCTGTTATACACAGGGTATATACAAATGAAAATACCATATTGAATTCTGGTGTATTTTTGAAGAACATTTTTTTTCAAAAAGTAATAAAGTTTTTGTGTGCAAGAAAAGAAAACTAAAGATTTTCAAATTAAAGAAAAATATGCATCATGTTTTCGATAATATTTTTGTGTATCTTTTTACGTAACATGGTTTGATCAATTTTTACAATGTTCCCCATCTAAATTGGCAGGAAAAAAGTTTATAAAAAGTATACAGTTTTATAGCAAGTTAACAAATCTACTTTTAACGAAGCTTAAAATAAAAAGTTTGCAAAATAGTGTATGTATAGATTTATGTTCTGTTGTTGTTCATTTACTATAAACAAGTATATGAATTTGGAAATAGAAATTTAGTTCAAATGGAAATTTAGTTCAACGCCAATAGCAATTGTGATAAAGTAATTTAAGATCATTTAAAGTTCAGTCAAGCAAGCACCTGAAAATGGTCAACTTTTTGTTTAATATAGATTGCTGTTCCAAATACAAATTGCAGATATGATCCAATACTTTATGTCAAGCAAGGTTCAAATTTTAAACCAAACAAACTTACTATCTGTTGATCTTCTACTTTGTTTTGAAGTTATGAGTTCAGATAGATATGTAAAACATTTAGTTTACAATTTTTTTTATAGCTTTTAAGCTCAAACTAGTAACCAATGATGTAATTTAAAAGTTTTATTTTTACAAATTTTAATTTGAAAGGAGAACAACATACATTATTAAATAAGCTATAATTTGAATGCATATATTTAAATATAGGGAAGATCAATCAATCACCCCTTTATATGTATATATAAATATATATATATATATATTTTTATATATGTAAGTTTTGATTTATATGTAAGTCTGTACAAAGATATAATTTTATATAGCTTTATATTTTATTAAAAGTATGTTTTAATTATATTTTAATATGTTTTAATTTATGTTTTTAATATTTTTTTTTTTTTTTTTTTTTTTTTTTGATACAAAAGATGTTTTGTTCAAAGCAGATCAGCCAACCATATAAGGACAGATAAAACTGGCCCTCATCTCAGGCTTAAGGGTCAATTAATGCAATTTTTTAAAAGCTTCTTTTGAAGTATGCAACCCTGATGTCTTGATGGGCACAATCACATGGAAGTAATGTAATATTAAATTAAATATTAAAGCATAAAATTTGCATTTACTTTATTTTGCTCTAACATCAAGTAATAATAAAAGTCCCAAACCATATTCAATTAAAAATAGGTTTTTAACTTGTAAGTGAATCAAATTAAATTAAACATTTTATTTTTGTTTTTTTAGATGTTACATATAGTGTAATATAAAAGGGATAAAATAATATCAAACAAAGTTGCTTGGTAGGGTATACTGGATCCATCCACTACTTCTAAAAAATCCTTAAAAACCACTATATAAAATAAAAAACAAGAGAATAGTAAAAGAATTCCTTTTATTTACATATTTAAGCAAACTGTTGATATAAAATTTTAACAAAAAAACATTTTAATATTTTTTTATAAAACAAAATTGGGGTAATTTCTACACGTTTTCATAAAAAATTTGAACGTACTTGAACGTTTTGTGTTAGCGGGGAGGTCATACATAACATTCAGATCGCAAACTTTAGGGTCATCCACATTTACCCCACACATTGTGCATAAAATTGGTTTGTTTGCGGCATCACTCATTGTTGTTTTTTTCATGTCTTTTCCCTTCCCTTTACCTGAAATGAAGACAATTTTCGGCTTGGTTTTAGCCTAATTTTCTTTAGTGAGCCTAGCAATGCATTTATCTGAAGTGAGGCTTTCACCACACTATTTTTTTATGGCCTTTCCTCTCGTCTCCATTTGCCCCTTCTCTAGTTTTTCATGAAAAGGTGTGAGATTTGACCCATGACTAAAATTGTCTTATTTGGTTGAAATTATGAATAATTATATATCTAATACCATATACAGATATTAATACTACTAAATTAATATGTTGCCTAAGGATATTTACAAGAAAAGGTTCAAATTGTGAAATTAAAAATTTTATCATCTCTGTACACATTAAACACATCCAAAAAATAAATGATGATTAATAAAAGTATGATGATCAATAAAAATATATTTTAAAATGTATTTTAAAGTACATATATGGTACTTAGATTGAAGATGATTTTGGATTTCCAAAAAAAGTTTCATAAACAAATTTCTAAATCAGTATGGGTACAGGAAGCATATACTTAGTGAGAAACAGAAAGTTGGCAATCAAAAACATGAGCTAAAAGTGGTTCAAGTTTTTTTAGTTTATCTGTATTGCTTCATATCTTTTTAGAGGGTGGAATTTCCCCGGGGATAGAATTACCCCAGTCTAGCCTACAATTGTTTGAAATAAGTTTATATTATTTGCGTATTTAATTGCGACATTATTTTTGCCAATGCATTGTTTAATTTGATAAACTATTTCTATTTGGTAACATTATGTTACTAATAACACAACTCAACTTTTTATCGTATTCCATAAATTTTTTTTTTTAATATTGAAAGTAGCTTATAATTTTCAAAACTTTTAAATCATTTGCTAACATCTTTAAAAGAAATCTTTGTTGCAAGCCTTAACATTTTAATAAGGTACAAAGTAGGCGCTTTTTATCCCTTAACTTAAATGGAACTAAGTTTCCGATTTTGGCAACCTGGTTAATAATACTGATTCATGGTGCAAATAAACCAGGTATATTTATATATTAGTGGTTAGAGAGCTTGCTTTACAAGCCGGGGATCTGGGTTTGAAATGAGCCTTTAATATATTTCGCGTCACAGTAAGGAAGGGCGCGTGAACTTCCTGGTTAAATCCATTTCCGCGGTGCTCTGTGACAAGACCGTTAGGACTTCTTGGGGCACATAAATAACAAAATTTGATTGCGATTCAATAAATATTTTAAATTTTGATTGCGTACATGCCACTAGCTGAACTAAAATTAATGTCATTGTTGTTTTACATAGCCCATAGATTAGTAAAAAAATTTTTAAAACGTCCATAAATTCAAATAAATGTCATTAAGTAAAATTTAATGAGGTTCGTAGTCAGCTAAAGTTTGAAGTTGGCTGGCCGTATATATACTACTTACTTCCTTTTCAGCTTAAATTCTCTTCGTCTTTTTAATATTTCACTACAGATCTCTCGTGTAAACTATATATTCAGTCCATGGGAAAGTCACTAGTAATACCTACTATGACCGGACCCGGGTCTTGTTAAGTCTGTTCAACATAGACCATTTCTAAATTATTTGTTTGGCCTGTTTATTTCATTAATTTTTAGTAAACGGTCATTTGCTATCATTTACTAAAAATTCCTTTTGTTACTCAAAATTTAATTTCCTAAATATTTTAACACAAGTAAAGAGGTTCCTCCCCTCTTTTTGCTTTAATGGTGGCCTGGTGAGTAGGTTTTTATTTATTAAGAGTAATCAAGTTTTTCTTTAACTAAAATAATAAAAATGTAAAACACTGATTTACATTTTTATTTACAAACAATTATTCTTTCCTCAAAAGTGTTGCAAATGCAGACTAAGCTAACTAATTAGTTAAATATGTAAATAAAATATAAGTAAATCAATATTTGACAAATGCGCAAAACTACAGTATTCTCCATGTTTTTAAAAGTTTTTAGTTACGACCCCCCCCCCCTTTACAAAGATCCCCTAAGACACGTACAACAAATTATTAGGCTTTAATAATTTGTTGTACTTTAATTAAAATTAAAAAAAAAAAAAGTGAACTAATTGCATATATATAAATATATCTTTTTACCTAACAAAAACTTAACGGGTGGTTACTAAAAATCCGGACAAACTTTCAAGTGCAATTACTCCCAAAGTTTTTATGGTAGAGATTAAATAAAACTATCATTAAAAAGAGTTTTTAGTTATTTATTTTAATTAAGTTTGTCTTCAACCAGTCTGTTTCTTCGGATTCGGCCAACTCTAACACGAGTTGACCCAAAAAGTGAAAATACAAGGTTAAGGTCAATTTTTTTCAGGCAAAGCTTTATTCTAGTTCGTAGTTGTTTCACGTCTTTTGCTTGCCAGTTACTCTCATACACTTTGCCTTTCAAAATAGCCCAAAAGTCTTCGATTGGTCGACACGCCGGTACGGCTGGCGGATTGTCAACTTTTTTGATAAAATTGATGTTATGAGTCTCGTAGCAGCTGGTCACGGTTTTGGCATAATGCGATGAAGCCAGGTCCGGCCAAAATATGTAATTACCATCGGCAACGCTTATCAGCGTTGATGAACGGCACT